TTCTGCTCCTCAAAAGGTCCTAAATAGATTTGTGTGCCTGGGGAATTTGAACCCTCTTACACATAATGCCTTTTCAAATGCTGCTCTATGCCTAACTGGAGATTAGGGACCTTAACTCTGAACATTATTTGTTTCCAACATTTAGGTTTCGACTATGATTAATTAAAAAAAAAAGTAAATATACACACCACGAATAGGTATTACTATGAAGATCACATCAGCAGAGGGTTGAATCACTGTTTTGATGTAATCAACTCCAGACTCTGAGGTACACCAGCAGGGCAGTCTGAGGAATCCCCAAACTCACAGGGCTGCATCCTTCACCTCTAACACAAAATAGAAAGAAAAACCCTTAAACCTTCAGCTAGTCTGCATAGTTTAGAATTGCGCGAAAACCAGCACAAGTGCATGGAAGCAAGTAGTGACTCCTTCCTCTAAAGTATATTCCCTAAAAGGCACATAAAAATATGACAACTTACATATTTTAAAGTCTGGTAGGAATTCAGGGAAAATAAGGCATATTTATATTTTCCTCCTCTTCTGGCCTTCTGATTAAAACAATCAAGCTGTCTGGGTATCTTGCGCAAGCCCCCCCGCCCCAGTTAAACCCAGGACCTCAAAGAGCATTTATTAAAATCTTATTAAGATTGGCCTTTCTGAAAATATGACACACATTTTCATTTTATTTCACTGCAGATACAACTTACTAGCAAAAGGCTTGGCAATGATGAGAGATCCTAGGAGAATTTTCAAGAGCTGATCATGATGATTACTACAAGTGCTGGCTTTATAATTGCAGGAAAACTTTGAGAGTCTCCATTTTTCCAACTTGGTGCTTTATGTTCTACACTGTACAGGATTTTATTCTATTCCATATTAGCATATTATAGTTAAACATTTTGTGTGTGTGCACAGCAGATTACACAACTGTACACTTCGGCTAACCTGCTTATAAAAAAGCTGAAGCAAACAGATCATCCCTTTCTAATGAAACATGGAAATCTTATTTTCTAGACCACCTAGAAAGAAAACCACCGGCACCAGAACAATCTAGTTCTGTTTACTTAACAAGATGGCAAAAACCTTTCACCTGGTCATGCATCCAATACCTGTTCTCCTCCTGTGTTTGCTAATGAAAATTAACATCAGGGCTGCGGAACCATAAACATGTTCTGGAAAACTTAAAATGCCAAAGACATTGTTCATAACCCTCTCAACATCTTTTCTTGTATCCCACTCTGCACCTTGTCAGGCTGAGAGCTGAACTCAAAATGTTTGTTCAGTGAAGGCAAAATCCAGAAACCTCATTGCTTGGGATTTGGTTCATCAACACCCAATCAACACAATGTTTTTGTGGAACACCTATTACACTAATTTGCCAGACAAGCACCTTTTTTTGTGGTCACGGCCATATCAGCATTCCCAAGAAATAAAACAAGCAACAAGAAATTAACATTTAAGAAGCAGTTGGGTGCAATACACAGAGATCAAGAGCAGATGTAGGAAATATGGAGGATAATCTCAAAATATAAGTTCATCTGTGGATAGTGCTGAGCTTCTTAAGAACTACAGGTATAAAATATTTCAACAGATGAAGTAGCACTATTGCTGTCCAGATTGCACACTGATATTGTATGGCAGTACTTTCTCCTTGAGCAAATAAATATCCATTCACTTTTCATGACACAAACCTCTGTAGGCTAAGGAGGAATGGAACTTCTCTCCGGGGCTGCCAAGCTTCCAAAGTACTTTTGCAAGAGTACTACATATCAATATTTATATATATATTTTTTTAATATATATATACATATATACACACACACACACACACACTGCTGCAGTAATAGCTAAACTTAAATTTCATTGTGATAAAAATCTTGCTTGGCTCATAGTGCACTGTAAAAGCTAGAGAGGCGCCCATCACTCCCTAATTATCTACAAGAAGCAATAGATTCTAAATTACTTAATCAAAACAGCCATACTGTAATTTGTCTGTACTCCCTAGGTGCGGCACTACGTCACACCTGTCATACATGAATGATTTGTTATTATTTTTTTACATAGATACAAATATCAGTAAAGAAAAAAGACTAATGACCACATTTTCACCTTTTCCCATGTCACATTATGAAGTTCTAGTGGAACAGAACAGCTGTGTTGCACCTGCACTTCATGAGGTAATAGCGATTATATCACAGTGTGTAAAAGTGTGGCTATTGGCACTTAGCAGATAAAGAAATGTTCAGATCACTCCATGGAATGATACCAAACCACCTCTCAAGTCAATCTTAGTGTACAAGGCACCAAGTTTCCTTTCCATTTTTAAGAGCAAGATCTTGTATACCTGTACAAGACATATTGCATATATATATTTGCCATTTATAACGACACATACAGCAATGAAAACTGTATCTGCACCTGGTAACATAGAGTTTGAGCCGAACAAGAGAAAACTTACCTATTTGAAAAAAGAACACTTGACAAGCAACATTGACAAGCTACTTCTGCACCAGTATCCACTTGAGTTTCCACCAACTCGCCTCCAACCAGAGTGTCCTCATAAAGATAGTAACTGAAAGTGACACAGGGCTATATCAGTTTCACTTGCTTTCTATCATCTACAACTTCAGGAGTCACATTTCCAGTTTTATATTCATATCCTTAGACCATCCAAGAGCTCAGACAGATCTGCATTGTGAAGCCCCTGTAGCTTCACTCGTGAAAATGAGATGTATCATCAAAAGTTAATATCACATCTCTGATTCTGAATATAGCATGGACAGTGTCTAAGTATGGAAGATGTAACACTGGAATATGGGGGAGAAAACTGCTTAGAAATTTAATTAAAGAGAAATTGTAGACTGATATTTACAAAATGTTACGCTGTCTGTGCGTGGGGAAGCTCCTGTTTTCCTTAACAAAAAGAAGGGGGAAAGTCTAGAAATTAAGAGTGGATCCTCAATCGTAATAACAAATAACGTTGTGAATCCTGTCAAATTTTAAATGAAGAAAGAGTAGGTGTAATCTGTAAATCAAGGACCGGTATCAGCAAACTCAGAACAAACCCATCTCCTATCACTAGCTCAGCAGGAGAGGCTGGCTTAGGAGACTGATTTTTGCCTGGCTCCCAGAGGAGTGGGAATTCACACTATTTGGCTTCAAGTTAAAAATGGTTCTAGCTGTACATCTGCAATTCTGAAAAAATGTGGCTGGAATCCAGGCACCTTCCAGACACACTGACATCCGTTTGCTGCTTTGCAAGACAGTCTACACACCAAAACAGAACAACTTGATTTATTTAAAATTCACCTCAAAATGCATTGTGTTCAGTTTCTTTTTTTTTAAATGAACATTCAAAGCATCAAAATATTACTAATTTAAAAAGAACATTTGTTAGGAAGAAGATAATTTACATACTGTAAATTGTGGCTGTGAGGGAGAGAAACAACTGATGGTAGATTAGGCACAGTACGGAGGCCAACATGCCAGAAAACAATGCAGCTTTAAGCTCGACTTTTAAATGATCTGGACAAAAAAAACCCCAACTGGGCAGGAAAATTAAACCAACCACTTAATTGAGGGTATTTGTATAAAACTAAAGGGTTACTAAGTTTTCTATCTAGACCTAACTCATTCATGTATTTAAAGAATTCTATCTTCTTCCAAATAACAAAAAATGTTTCTAAACCAAGGCAGATTATTATTTGGAACTGGCATAGTAAAATAAAGGATCACAGTATACAGAGTTTAAAATCCTGTACCAGGAAACAGCAACAAGTGGTGTACAAGGGGATAATTTAGGTACATTATCTAATTTTTAAAAACAGAGATATAAAATATCAATTGCATAGGGATTTAAATATAAGGCCAAGCAGGAGATTGAAGTAAAATAGAGCTCATAAGAAGGGCACTGTGGTGTTAAAACATAGTATTTCCATTTGAGTTAATGTCTAATTCAAAATCACAGTATTTTGCTAGTACTACAAAAAGTGAATGTCAAACTGTCCCATTAATCTTGAACTGAAAACTGACATTAGAACTTCTAAACAGTACAAAACTAAAGCTCATCGTCTAAACCTGATCAGTGTATTAGCACAACAGTGCTTGGTACGTACCTGATTTATATACTCTACCTTCTGTAAATAATATAAAGGTTATTTCTTGTTAATAAGTGTGAGATCACAATATTACTGCATGCCATCAGTGGTTTGCAGGCTTACTTGACATTTAATTCTTCAGTCTTTGAAAGTGTAAGATCCCACCCTGCAGAATCTTCACTGATTGAACACAGAACACTGTCATTAATAAAACACAATAGAAGTCCACCACTAACAACTAACATATAAGCCAGGATTTTAGGTCTAAACCCGGTACAGTTCATTATTATTAACTCACAGCTATTTTTTGTTAGGAAGGTAAACCTGCAGACTTCCAAATAATCTTGTATGTATTAAATATAAACAAATATGTAACTAACGGTTGTCTCTTGGCATTTCAAGTAGATTATTCAATTGTGAAAGTATTTCTGCAAAATCAATTTTGAGTTGTTAAAATGAAGTTCAAATATTAATTTCCATTTCTACATGTAGCTTAATTAACCTAAAATTGTGAGGAATAGTAGTGTAAGGAAAAAAGAATCCTCCAGATTAATTAGACATTAAGGTACACTAACTGTGAATACCTGAACCAACATTGTAACTGAAAAAGTGCATAAACAAAGTAATACTACAAATGTGTTAACTACAGAACAGAAGGTTTTCTGAAACCTAAGTAATATTATTTTACAGGTTATTTACAGGCTGTGATTTTTCCAGACAGAGCCAATTCAGGATCTTAAAGTTCCTTTGATATATTCAAAGTGTCTTTTGGCTTCCAACTGATTTGGCGAGGAACCGATTCCCAGCCCAGGGGATCAGGCGCTGTGCGACTGAACAACACCGCCATCGTGGTTCTGTGATTCTCCACAATTCACTTCTTTCCGTTCTCCGAAGGCGGAGCAGTGTTTTCACTTGACGCTCTTGGTGGGCGTCTCGGACTCGGTGGACTGCCTGCCGTCAGTCCAGGCCTCCCGCGTGCTCTTCAGGGCCAGCGTCTTCTGCTGGTCCACCACAACGTAATCCACCCTCTCGTCCGCCACGCTGCTGCCCGAGCCGCTGTGCTTCTTCTGGGGACAGCCACAAACAAGTGCCAGTAAATGGACAACAGAAAAGCAAGCGGGTGTCCCAGACAGACACAGAACAAGCACTGGCTTCTCTGAAAGGGCCAACGCTGTCTCTCCACTAAGCATTTGAGAAATTGCCATTACGAGATCTTACTGAACATCTGCTCACCTTACGAGGCGGGGTAGACTTTCCCGAATCTAGGTCCAGATCTAAATATTCCACTTGTTTATCTCCTTTAGGTTTTACCACAGGGCTGCTTCCTCCATCGAGGCTGCTGCTTCCAAACAAATTCTGCAATCATAATTTAAACAACCTCAGCTACAAACGCACAAACTAATGTGGTCCACATAATCAAATATGCTTACTATAAACTGCCAAAATGTAAAAGCTTAAGGAAACGACTGCAATCACTTAAATCGTGGAAATTTCATTGAGCCTGTATGGCAAGGGCATACATTCTATGTTAAAAATGGGACAGAGTCAAAACCCAATGGGAGGAAAAAACCCAAAAACCACCCCCCAAATTTAGGGTTGCCACCAAACCCATCTGTGTTTTCCACTTAACGTCCCCTTCATATAATGAAATAAGAACAGATCATGTTTTGTTCTTTTTAAATGTAGTTATTATATCTCAAATTTAACATTACTTAAGCACAAACTTTTCTATTTCCCTCAATTTTTGTTAAATATCTACAATAATTTCTGCTTGACAGTAGTGGCAAATCTAAAAATGAAACATTTACATTTAATTCAAAAGTCATCATGATTAAGGTGAAAATCAAAGAGTATTGTTCAACTGACAAGATTAAAATATTAAAACTTGGGAAAATATGTGTAGGGCTGCCTGAACTGAAGTTGCATTGTATATACCTAAATTTCAATTAGCCCAGACTTTTACAACCTCACCTCCTCTGTCCTCTCCCAGCCTGATCCCTCCCTCTTAACAGGTGTTATAGGAACAGTACAATAGAAGGACTCTTCTCTAAAAGATAAAGAAAAAACAGGAAGACAGAGGGCAGCAGTCAGCAAAAAATGAAGAAGGCGGCAGAAGGAAAGACAGAAGGGTAAGGCTGAGAGCAACTTGAAAGAAAAAGCAGAATATTGCTGATTTTATTAACTAAAACGTAAGTATGACATCAAAGAAGATGCTCCAAAGCTGATGGCAGAAAAAGATTAAGAAATACAGATTCCTTGCTAAGACAGAGTTGGAACAAGTAAAAATTCTCAAAAAGTCAAATTTTAAAACAAAGGCCATGAGATATGCAGAAATGTTCCGGTTCTTTAGGAAGTAAAATATTTTATGGGCTAAAGCAAAATGGGCTGGGCTTTTTAAACTGAAGTAATCCATTATATCTCTACTGTCCAGCTCATTTAACATTAAGTGGTAACAAGGACAAGCACAAACAACTAATGTGAAGTTCATTTTCATTGCTCAAATTCTCAGAACAAATTTCTGTGTATTAAAGATACAAAAATCAGATTCTGTATCAATGTTTCCAGGATAAATTTAAAAAGCTGTTACTCATTAACCACAAAATATAATCTGTTATTTCAAACAAACTAAGCAGGCAGAACATATGCATTAGGAAACAGAAATTTTAAATACACGCAAATGAAACAGAAAGGAAACCTGTTGAATGACCTTTAAATAGGACTGGTGCAAGCAAACAGAAGATATTAACGAGCTGGAGCGTTAATGGTACCATCTTGGTATGGAAGTGAAGCCCTTGGAACAGCCTTAGGAACCAACAGGAGCACCTGGGTTGAACTGTGATTCTGTGCAGGGACAATCTCTGGGGTAACATGGGCTGTTTCCTGCACGTGTGGAACGCCACAGCACCCACTACTTACCGATGGATGGCCCCTGCAAGGGAGGAGCCAAGAATGAACACCAGCAGGCCCCTGAGCTCGGTGCTTTCCCTGGGAGCACAAGGCACAGCGTGGGGCGCCCCACGGGCTTGGGGCCCGCACCCCACTCTGCACCCCTGCTCCCACGGGAATGGCACTGGGCAAGCTGGGATGCCGAGCTGGGCAGGGACACTGCAGGGGCTGGGAGGGGACAGTAGAGGGACCAGCATTGCAGGAGGAGAGCCCGGGCAGCGAGATGGGCCAGCACATGCCGTACAAGAAGGCAGACGCACAAACAGAACAAACAAGGTGCTATGACCCCACAGAAAGTCACACATAAATGATTTCAAGATGAAAAATACTGCTGTGCCCCCTGCTAACAACCCAAGCACATGAGCACACTGAACTGACTGCACAGGACTTTGAACAGTCCTAGCAGACTGTCCCTGACCACGGCATGGGAGGTTGGAACAAGATGATCTTTCAAGGTCCCTTTCAATCCATTCCATGATTCTGGACTAGACAAAAAGCTGAGCTCAGGATACAGGTTTCCTACGGGTTTTATGCATATTCTAAACTATATTTTAGTTTAGGCCTAGGCCTGCTGCTATTGTCTCCCTTAAAACTACTGCTATTGAGTCTTTTTCTCTCTCTCTCCTTTCCCTCACCGAAGGAAACCCACAGTGTATATCATTAAATTTTCCTAACTAGCTGCACTCCATGCTGAGGATCTGAAGCTTCATTATCTGAGAAAATTCCCCCCAAAGGGGAAAAAATGCAGACATTTAATACACAAAGACTCCTTCTATCTTCTTCTTTGAAAGATGCCTAATAAAATACACATGGTTCAATTTTCATAGAATTTATACCACAAGTATCAATTGTTTTTTTCCCCTGCTCCTTCTACACTTCCTGGAAGATGTCCTTTTAATGCAGTTTTTTTAAGCATGTCTCAGAGCTCCTAGGACAGTTTATTTCCCTTCATGACATAATACTGGACTCACACATAGCCCAAGGATAAAGGATTGCAAAGGGGGGACAAATTCCAGAAAAGAGGTAGAAAAAAAGTCATGTTGTATACTGCTTTATATAATAGACATGTATATCAACCATTTTCTTTATGCTCTTAACCTCTTCAGTGAAATCCTACCAAAATTACAGCTTTGCTATGGAGATTTTTTTATCATTCTGTGGATCTAGAAGTATAAAGGGAGTGCTGTTGAATGAAGGATCTGTATTGGCATGATTTAAAAGTAAGGACTGCACAGGAAGAGAGTAGTTAAGATGTAGATTTTACATACTGGGTCTTCAGAGGACTGATTTGGGTTCATGGATACATAATTCTCTTCACTGTCGTGCGAGTCACTGCTGGAAGTTGTGCTATGAACTGAATCCGGTCTGGGAGACACGGGAAACCTGGAGGAGCTAATTACCAGGAATTATTTCACAAACAATACATCTGCAATATCTTAAACCTCCTGGTCAACAACAAAAATAAGCATATTAGAGCTGAAATTTTCATTCAAGTTTACTAGAGTGTCACATTTTTTGGTTATACACAGTCCCTTATATTTAATATCACAAAACAAAATTTCACACAGACACACTTTATTTCAATGCACAGATACACACACAGACTCACACTCTTCCAAGGGAAACTTCAAGCTACAAACAAGCTAAAAATATGATACAGATGTACACACATTTATTAACACTCCAGTCTCCAAAATGATTAATCTGAATGAGGAAAAGCCAAGACACTTACTCTCGTGCAAAGCTTCTGGTGATAGGAGATCTAACTGGAGCTTGTAATTCTTCCCATTCAGGCAGAGGTTTTATTTCTAGTGGAGCTGGTTTTGCTATGTAAGAAACAGACAACTGTAAAGCACAGAACTTTCCTAAACAAACTTAAATTTAATAGCTTTTCATAAACTAAATACAGAAAAAAACATTTATCTTTCAAATAGTAAATACTAGTAAGGACAGGGAAACACTTCCATTTTCAGAAAGACATCATATATTAACTTACATTTTTAATCTTTTCAGGTAACGAGAGGAAACATCAATTAAAAAATTGAAATATAAAATAAAAAAAAACCACTGCAACTTCAGAATTTTGCAGCATATACTTGTAGGCAGTAATGCTGTTTTGAAAAGAGATTTTGAAAGTGGCAGCATCGTGTTCTGTCCTGATGACTTGTTGAGCTGGCAAGCCCAGGGCAGGGCTGATGGGCTGTTTGAGCAGAACCAGCTCTGGGACTTCTCCTGGCTCAGAGCCAGCTGTTAATGTGCAAGCTCTGCCCTCACTGCGTACATGTGCCCTCACTGGGGAGGTTCCACGGCTCCACGAGTGGGCAGAACCTGGGCTAAGACTGAGTCTGCACAGGTGAGAAATGAGCCAGCAGCAGGAGGAGCCTGGCTCGCCTCAGAGATCACCCACAGCCGGGCAGAGTGGATGTGCCACAGAGCAACGTGCCACTCATGACATAACACTGTCCTCAAAAAAATCGCCATTTTTAAATTTCGTTTTCAGAACAACACCATGAGTAGGCTATTAGCAAGAAACACATTGTCCCTCCCTCCAGCTTATATGTCTCACACGTCCTAAACATCAGCAAAAAAGAAAAGTATAAAAAGGCTTGTGGAAAAAAAAATACCACAGAGTCAAAGTGCTGTCAACTTTATCCTCCCTAAAACTGTTTTTAGAAAACAAAATGCAATGTCATCATAAAAACTGCCCTTTCTGTCCTTGTGCCCCCTCCTACCACGAGTCTTCTGCCTCTCGGCAGGTTCACTAAGATCAAGCGTCAGGCATGCAGTAACAGAACTGAACGTGACGTAGGCAAGATGATACTAAAGCACAACTGACATTAAAAACTACCAGCTTGGCTCAAGTTTTCTGCAACGGTCTGAGACTACCTGGCAGGAATAAACAGTGGGCAAGGTGCTGCTGCAGCACACAGAGCCAGGATTTCATCCAAAGGCCACCAAGAACAGCACAAGTATTTATTCCATCCTCTTGCAATGGACTTCAAAACCCAAAGGTAATCAGTGATACTTCTCTGAGATTTTTAATGTTGTTCATTATTTTCTCTACTTCTCCTGACTATGTTAGGCACCAACTCAGCATCTTCAATAAAGCCCATCATATTAATTAAAATCCTCTTTAAGGTGCATAAATAGATGTCTGTACTAGTGTATGATCAGAAGATCAATATTTTGCTTCAAAACCTAAGTGAACTGTGATTTCAGGTTACTGCCTAATAAAAGTTTCAAGTAACTTACAAATTACTATGTACAATTTATAAGTTGTTATATATTTGCTTCTAAATAAACAGACAAAATATAAACAGCCCCAACTTAAGAGATCAGAACATTCATGTTAATATCAAAGAAAAACTTCCATGCACTGTTCAAGCCAGAAAATCTTTAATTCCTTATACAGGAAACTGGTTGCTTGGCATGGAAAATACATCCATAACCTTAGACTACAGCAGAATAGAATATGCCAGAGTTATTCTAAAATAACAGTTTTTAAAATTTTTGCTTCACTTATTTTTATAAAGCTCCATATACATACAGTGCTAAAGTACATACCCTTTCTTCTTGTAGTAAAGTCACCTATGGTTTGTGAATCAGTTCGCTCTAAACCATGTGGTTTAGGTCTTAAAATTTTAGGACTTTGACCTAATTGGCAAAAAGAAGACTCTCTTAATAATATTCTATTTGCAAGTGGAAAACTGGAATTTTATAAATAAACATCACAACCCCCTGCAGAAAAGTTAATCCCACAAGCATAAGCAAGCTGCTGAAGGAGATTTTACACTCTAGCTGGGAATCACACTAAGGGTTTAAACACCAAACCAGAAACAAAGTAAAGACTGCATGCAAGTAATAAATATATAGGAGGCAAATGTAAAAGCTGTGCAAAAAGGCTAAAAAGTGCATCAACAAATACTGCAACTGATCATTACTACTAACTGGTTTGATTAAAACAAATAAACATACATATTTGAGGTATATTTACTATCAAAAGAGAACAGTCATGTTTCAGATACAAATTGAAGTATTTATAAATAATAATACTAATAATACCAATAATATATAATAATATAATATAATAATATATTATATTTATATATTAAATATAAAAAAAGGCAAGTGCCTTCAAGTGGTACACCAAGAAGCCATATGAATAAACCAAATGAAAAGTTTAAGCCTGGTTATGTCGGAAAGCTGCCCTACAGCACAAAATGGAAAAGGACTGGTACAGACTAAGGTGTGGTGTTCCCAGCAATGGGTGAGAATGCTTCACAAAGAATAAACTTGGCAACAAACACCAGAAGTTTGCAAATCGCTGCCCCAAGGGTTTTGCGTATGAAGTGCTCTATTAGCGTTATCACTGAAGTATTGGGAATAATCAAGTAACAACAAGAAAGGTAAATACAGGTTTTGTACTGTATCTTAACTTCTACACAGTGCTTCTGAGAGACCATGCAGGTAAGACAAAATTTGTTTATTCATTAGTAGTGCTGCACAGCAACTTCCTTACAAAGAAAAGGACATGAAGTAATTTTTACACAGACAGCTCTTTTCCAATTTCAAAATCAGATGCTCCCTTAAATGGCTCAATGTGCTGATGAAACAGGTGAACAGTTGGGCAATGCTGACCACAGACACAGTGAAGCAGAACATGAAGTATTCCTGACTAGAGCCAAGTCAAAAGCATGAGCCAACATGCTGATGTACTCAATTCTGAGCTGATCCAATGTTCTTAAGTCCTTGCCTATAACTCTCTGATAAAAGCCTGCCTATTTAAAAAGACCAGGATCTTCAAACTGATGGAACAATTTAAGAAGTTCAAATCCAAACACTTTTTGATGTGATCATAATAATTTTGTATTTCAGAGTTTTATAATCTGATTTAAAAGAAATCTGGCCCAATGCAACTCAAGTTAATCTGCACTGACCTAGAAGCACAGATTGTAAGCACAATGAGAAAACTAGCAGAGGTAACAGAGTTAATTAAATTATTTAAGCAGTGTGCACTTAATAACCTCTGCTCTTATAACCGAACAGACTAAAGTGCCTGAAACCCATAATACAGAGAATAAGCTCAAGGAACTCAAGGCTGCAACTCATCATTTCTCCTTCTGTTAATGATGCTACATGGTCTGGCACAGCCAACCTTTCTGAACTGGGATTACCCCGTTTGTAAAACATGGCTGTTGTGTAACTGCCTGATTCCCACTTAATTTAGCACTTATACCAACCACTCAGATTTCCAGAAGAACTATATAAGTAAGTACAGGTCCCTTCAATACTTCTACATCAGAAAAGAACATACAAAACTCACTGAGCTTTCATCTCTTGCTGCTGGAAGACCATTTAATCTCAATAAATTTGGTGGCAAACCAGCTGGCTGCCACCAACCAGCCAGGATAATGCAATTCCTCACATTTAATGCGTCACAGAGAATTAAAATATTTGTGCAGAGTGTTTTCTTTTTCCTCCCTGGAAAAAGAAAACCCAAAGGCCTAAACTCTGTTGAGGAGCTTATACTGTGCAACACGACAGACCTGACACCAGGGAAAGGAAAAGAGGAAGGGGGGATCAAAATCACGAATCTGAGGTTATCTCTAGGTGTAACTGCAGAATTCTTTCACCCTGTTTTTGCTCATTTAAGACAATAAAGTGACATGAGCCAGGGCACTGAAAGCCCTTCAGAGTATCCCGTACTGCTTTCAAATGACCATTTTCCCCAGGAGCACACGCCTGTATCTCTGAAAAGCAACCAAGTGATTAAAACACGGAGGGGAAACTGCTTCCCCCTGTACAGCAGGCTGGCCTCCCACGTCTGTCCTATCCACAAACGCTCACTCAAGTGTCACAGGGCTGTTCTTCACATCACTGTGGTGACAGCAGGGCTCTATGGAGAGCCTGGCTCCACGCAGCATTCCAACACCAGCCATACTGAGGAACACATTTCCTGTGCTTCCCACAGGCCCACATCTACCTCAGCTCGGGAGAGATAACACTTTTAACTTACACACCTATTCTGGGAAAGATAAATCTGGGTAAAGGAAAAAAAAAAGTTTCATTTATGCAATTTAATTGTTTTTCAAACTGAAAAGGAAATAAATGTTGCAGCACCACTGGATGCAAACCTACACGGGGGGAAAAAACCCAAAACACAAATAAATTATGTCAAGTGAAACCAACTAAACAAGAAGTGAAAATTAGATGTTTTTACTATTCTATCAAGTCACCATCTGTGAAATGCAAAATTCAGCCAGGAGAGAGAAGCTCAGCTTCTGCATGTCCTACCAGGCTGTAGAAGGGCACTCTGAGCTGAAAAATCATTAATGAAGTCTGTTTTTCTAACAAATGGCTGCTTGTAGCAAGTGCCAGGCACAGCAGACGACTGTGGCTGTGGCACTGGAGCACACTCAGATGCATGAATTCTGCTCCTGGTATTTGGGGCACGTCAATGCTGCCTTTGTCTGTGCAGTCACCAGGAGAAGAGTCCATTTCACATGTTTGAGTTAATTTCAAAAAATGGTTTAAACTGAAAAATCCTTTTTGGCTTTTGCATTGGCTCTGGTTGTTTTCCATAGAACACTTGGAATATAATATTGAGGCAGGAGGAAGTTGTCCCACTGCAGTAAATTCCTGCATCAGTGCAGGTGGTCCTAATGGTTTTGTTTTTGAGGACATAATGCTGAAGAGATTAATTTGTTCTCAGACTATTGCCTTGAAACACCAGAACTAAACATGATTTCTGCTAAAGACACTTCTTTCCTGACTGGATGCTTGCTCCACGGCTTGCTGGCAAGGGATTTCATGTCAGGAAACTGCAAACATCCTCACAGAAGAGGCCAACACTTCTACTTAAATACCAGCTATTTAGGGCTTAAAATTTTTAGGTAAATATATACTAATGCAACATAAAATTTGAGAAATGCATCATCGGTTTCCTGGACAACAGGATTAATCCTTATGAGACCAGGAGATCATATGTAGGAATGCTAGAGCGGTGCTGTGCTTGGGATAGCAGGGGGAGAGCTAAAGGAGAAATCAGCCACATAAATGCACTGCATCCACACAAGAGTCCTTTCAGAGAGAAATAACTAACCACAGTTCCTTGTTCCCATCAACAAAATACATATCTTGACTCCTTTTCCTCTGTAATTACATGAAACTGAAATTTGCACTGAGGTCCAAGAATTCCCCTACTTAGAATCACTGTTGATTTCTCCTCAAAATCAAGGCTGAAATTCACTGTCTTGTTCCCAAAAAATTTATTATTTGCTTTTCAATTCTGCAGAGTAAACTCCTGCTTTTCTTCTCTTCCTCACCCAAGTGAACCCTGATTCCCAAGTAAATGGTCTCTTCAACACAGAGCTCTACAAATATCCTGAATTTGCTTTTTCATCTCTGTTTTTGTAAGACTGTCTCCTGCCAAGGTACTTGTAATTAGAAACATGTATTTAGTTACATAACATTCCAATTCATTTCCATACTAGTACCCACCAACAAATAGGAGCATCAATAATGTGCTTTGTGCTGGGTGGGGATAAGATACGGATGCTGATAACTATGGTCTCTTTAGGACAATAAAAACAAATTTAAATAACTTAATCTTATGAAATATAAAAAGCAATCACATAAAGAGTTGCTCTTCAGTCTTCTCAGACATCTTTATCCCCTCAAAACAACTTTTTACAGTGAACTGGTAATTTGAATGCTACAGAAATTAAGAACGAATTGGAAAAAATAACTCCAACTGGATCTGACAGCTAACGTTCACTGTTATTTCTAACATATTTGGCAAATGCTATAAAACTACTCAAAGAATGGCAAATGCCATAAAATTACTCAGTGAATACCAAAGCTATTAATCATCAAGAGACTACTTGACTATTCTGATTTGTGAGTAACTCTACATGTCTGAATTTTATAAGCCCCCAAAGCATGATGAACTAAGAACATTCAATAACAAAGACTGTTTTAAAACCTAAGCACAGTGTTCTGGAGCATTTATTGATTAGCAGTTTAATGGTGCACTAAGATTTGCAAACTCCAAAAGACTTCAAAAACAAAACACTGAAAAAAAAAACCCCAAAATTTAAATTATTCAGTGGAAAACTAAAGATTAACATTAAGCCTATTACAAAGTAATGGAATAGCATGACAATATGTGCATTAAAAACTATGTTTTCTTGAAAAAAGTGATAAGGGCACAGCAAAGAAGAGAAAAAATTTTATGAAGATAATTAAAAATAGGGCATTATTACTCATGTTCTCTTGTTCCTGCTCTACCTCATATCTTTGGAGTTTAAAATTACCTAAAAAAAAATCCCTAGCCCTAATCCCTAAACTTAATCATCCCCAGCACTAGTATCAGAGTAAGAACTGCACTCTAGAAAACTGGCATGTTTAATTTTTTACAACCATTATGTCCAGCACATCACAGTCCTCTGCAGCTGTGATACAGCCATCCAAATGAAATCATTATTGAAATTATTTGCTCTTTCAAAGTTTTACAAGACAAATCACAGCTGCAAGGTAAGGACTGGTACATCACAGCAAGGAGTTATTTAAAGCCATTAAGTGAAAAACTAGACTTGTACAAGTAATTTAGTACAGGCATGCAGGAAGTATACTTTTCAGCTAAATGGGAACTC